AGATTTTATTTATTTATTTGAGAGAGAGAGAATGAGAGACAGAGAGCATGAGCGGGAGGAGGGTCAGAGGGAGAAGCAGACTCCCCGCCGAGCAGGGAGCCCAGTGAGGGACTCGATCCCGGGACTCCAGGATCATGACCTGAGCCGAAGGCAGTCGCTTAACCAACTGAGCCACCCAGGTGTCCCGGGACAGCATCACTTTTATTGTCATAATACAATAAACATGTTTAAAAACATTTTAAGTGTAACGTCCGTGGAGAAAAATGTATAGATCATAAACTTGACGGATTATCCCCAAGGGACCCATCCATGAAACCACCAGCCAAGTCAAGTAATAGAACATGTGTAGCCTGCCAGACACCCTCCGCGTGGCCCAGTCAACACCCCTTCCCTTTTCTGCGAGGCTGTTCTCCCTCCAGACTTTTCACACAGTTTCATCTTGCCTGTTTTTGAGTAAGAGTCTTGCAGTATGTGCTGCTTTTGCTCAACATTATGTTGTGAGATTAGCCCATGTCGTAGATGGTAGTTTGTTCCAATCATTGAGTAGCACGTCCCAACCTGGAGCGATTTTGCTCCCCCAGGGGGCAGTGTTGGAGACCTTTTTGGTTGTCACAACTTGGGGGTGGCTTCTACCAGCATCTAGTGGGTGGAGGCTGTGGATGTTGCTAAACATCCTATAATGCACAGACACACCTCACCTCCAGCTCCCAGCAAAGACCTATCCAGCCCGAAATGTTAATATAGCCGAGGTTGAAAAACCCCAATGTAGAGTATTCCATTGTATTACTATTACCAAAACATACTATTTACTCTACTGGTAGCAAAATGTGGGTTGTTTCTACTTTTTACTGTTACAAAAAAAGCAGTTATGAACATGTCTTTTTTAGTGCACTTATGTCCACCTTTCTGTCAGTTGTGTATCTGCAAAAGCATTTCCTAGTCACAGGGCGTACGTTGGGTCAGCTTTAGTAGAAGATTCCAAACTATTTTCCAAAGTGGTTGCATCAGTTGCCGCTGTTACTTGCAGTGTGTGAGAGATCCAGTCGCTCTGTATGCTCAGTCATACTCATGGTCAGTTCTGTAGCTGCAGCCGTCCCGGATGGTATGGAATGTTCTCTCAGGCCCTCAGTCGGCACCCCTGCCCTCCTCCCAAAAGGTGGATTCTTTCCCTAATGACTAATGAGGTTGAGTACTGTTTCATGTGGCAATGAACCATTTTGATATTTTTTTTTTTAAGCTTTCTTGAGGTATAATGCACATATCTTATAATTCACCCATTTTAAGGGTACTTTTTTTATAACTAAATAAGCGATTTTACCAAGTTGCGGAAACCTTACCAAAGTCCAGTTTTAGAGCATTTCCATCACCCCAGTAAGATCACTTGGTGCTTGTTTATAGTTAATCTCTGTTGCTGCTTCCAGCCCCAGACAACCTACTTTCTGACTCCATAGATTTCCTTTTCTAAATATATCTATAAACAGAGTCATACAGTACGTGATCTTTTGTGCATGGAATCTTTCATTTATAATGTTTCTGAGGCTCATTCATGTTGTAGCATTCATTAGTATTGTATTTATATTCCTTTTTTTATTCCTAAAGAGTATTTTATTATAGAATATGTCACATTTTGTTTATCAGTTCACCAACTGATGGACATTTGGGTTATCTCCACCTTTTGACTCTTATGAATGATGATGCTGATGCGAACATTCGCCTGCCATTCTTTGTCTGGACATACACTTTCATTTCTCTCGGGTAGATAGTAGGAGCAGAATTGCTGGGCTGTATCGTATATTTATATTTAGTTTTTTTAGAAACTGCCAAACTGTTTTCCAAAGTGGCCGAACCATTTTGTATTCCCACCACATCCTCACCAACACTTGTTATTGTCTGTGGGTGAAAGACAATAGATGGAGAAGTAGGCAAAAAGCCAGGAGAGAGTTAGTGTCAGAGTGCCAAAGGAGAAAGAGTAGGGTTTCAAGAAAGGGATTGGTTACCATTGTCAAACAGTGCAGAGGGGTCATGTGGAGAAAAAGACACCGTGTGTTCAATCCATTGGCTTTGGCAGCATGAGATCATACGTGACATTAACAAAAGCGATCGACAGAGAAATACCTGCTCACAAAGTTGAGTACCAGATCTCGGGAGGAGGGGACGTAACTCGCTTATGTTTTTCTTCTCTTCACAGAATCCAAAAGATGTGTTGACCAGGTATGAGCTGCTGCTTTTTCATGGGGGCCTGAGTGGAGGGGAAACAGGCCTGGGCTCCAGAGAACAGTCTGGGCACACCTGAGAGTCAGTGGGGAAGGAATTCCACCGCTCACTTTTGCAAGGGGGAATGGGCGAGCGGTGGTCTGAGCTTTGGGCTTGGAACCTTCAGTGGGAGTTGGGGGCCTTGGCTGCCTGAGTTGTCTCCTAAGAAGAGCAGCCTTCTGTACTTTCCTTAGGAGTGAGAACCAGGATGTGAGCTATTCCCTTGAAGTTCTAACGGTGAAGACTGTGTGCCAGATACCAATGATGAAGGAAATGCTGAAGCGATTCCAAGGTAAGCAAGAAATCTTTAAGAGAATAAGCACTGAGAAAACTTTAGAAAGGAAAGAGGAAACAGAACATGCAGCTAGTGGGAGGGTCAGGAAAAATGGTGATAACTAGAATACATGGATATATGCTTCATTCAAGAAGCATTTACTTGGGCGCCTGGGTGGCTCGGTTGGTTAAGCGACTGCCTTCGGCTCAGGTCATGATCCTGGAGTCCCTGGATCGAGTCCCGCATCGGGCTCCCTGCTCGGCAGGGAGTCTGCTTCTCCCTCTGACCCTCCTCCCTCTCATGCTCTCTGTCTCTCATTCTCTCTCTCAAATAAATAAATAAAATCTAAAAAAAAAAAAAAAAAAAAAGAAGCATTTACTTAACACACACTGTGTGTATAAGGTGCTAGTTATACAGAAAGAAAAAGACCTATTTCTAAGAATTCAAGTAAACTGGAGAGACAGACTCCGATCACTTACTGTAACATAGTGGGATCTACTGTTTATCAATGTATGAGTAAAATATTATGGAATGTCAGAGAAAGAGCTCTGTTGGGGGTGAAGTGGGGAAGTTTCCACACAGAGGTGACATTGTTCTGGGATTTGATGGATGAATAGGAGTTTGCCAAGTGGAAAATGGAGGTGTACTCGTGTAAGCAGAAGGAGCAGCATGAGCTAAGCTGTGGAGAAAATGGAGGGGTAGGTATCCAATGTAACTAAACCATAAGGTACTTTGTGGGAACAGGCAGGAGCTGAGGTTGAGATGGTGAATATAGGAAAGTCTGAAGATAAATTTACTGGATCTCCAGGGAATTGCCAAGGCATGTAGGTGTTGTAAATGCTACACAGGCAATTCTCTCGTGCACACACCTGATGAAGAACCATGTGGTGGATGAAGTATTGGGGACTGGATTTACTCTTCAGCCTGAAACTTAGCTAACTAAAAAAGCTAAAATAAAACAGACACGGTACATGAAATAACTGTTTTCCCAACCCTGGATATCAGGCAGTACAGGACAAGGAAATGTGAAACAATGAGGTGAGCTCTATGATGGCTCCAGCCTCCAGCCTGAAAAGAGCTTCCAGGCCATCGTGGGGGGTGGGGAGGGTAGTGGAGGTGGAGCCAGGTTGAGGAATGGAGCAGAGTCCAGGGAGGACTAAGCAGTGAGAGCTTGCAGAGTACTGGCGAGGAGAGAGCCATCCAGAGGGCAATGATCTACAGAGGTGCCCCCTGAGTATTTAGCAGAGTACTGACCAGCAAATGCTTGTGAAAAACTACCTTAGACTGAGGAAGGACGTTTCCAAAATGATTAGAAAGAACAGTTTCTGGTGCTCCCACAGGGCCCAAACAATGCCTGTTCCTAGCAGCCAGACTAGAAAACTCTCAATTCCTGGGAAAATCTTGCCTCATTAGTGGGGAATAATTAACCCTACACTGAGCACTGCTTTGGACCCACCTTATAAATCATGAACACCAGATCCAAAAGGATCAAATTATTTCCAAGTAACTGCATCCCAGGGCAAAGCTTAAGATTTTAAAAAATGAGTACCTAACCATGTAAATTCACAATGTCTGGCATCCAGTCAAAGATAACTAGGCATGCAAAGAGGTAGGAAAGCATGACCCATAATGAGAATAATTGATTGGTACTGACCCAGGATTGACCAGATGTTAGAATAAGCACAGAAGGACTTTAATACAGCTATCCTATAAAGAAGTATTTGGAGACATGGAAGATCTAAAAAAGTCCCAGGTCAAACCTCTGGAGATAAAACTACAGTGATTGAGAGGAATACACTGGCTGGGATTAATAGATGATTAGATGTTGCAGGAAAAAAGATTATCGAATTTGAAGATGCAGCAGCGGAAACTACAAAATGAAACACACAGGAGAAAACCTTAAACCATGAAAAGAGCCTTGGTGAGCTGGGGGACAATCTCATGCAGTCTTATGTGTGGTACATGGGATCCCTGAGGAGATGAGTAGGATGCGGATGAGACAGGAAAAACATCTGAAGGAATAATGGCCCCAGGGCGCAAGGGTGGCTCATTGGGTTAAGCGTCTGCCTTCAGCTCAGGTCTTCATCTCAGGGTCGGTCCTGGGTTCAAGCCCTGTGTTGGGCTCCCTCCTCAGCAGGAAGTCTGCTTTTCCCTCTGCTCCTCCCTCCCCCGCTCATTTTTTTTTCTCTCTCTCTCAAATAAATAAAATCTTAAATAAAAAAAAGAATGTCCCCAAATTTTCCACATTTGGTGAAGACCATTAGTCCACAGATCCAATAAGCTCGACAAGCCCTAAGCACAAGAAATATGAGAGGAACTACACCAAACACCAGTGTAAAGAGGACATTTTTGATGTAAGAAGAGACAAAGGACATGTTACTTAAGATGGAAAAAAAAGATGATGTCCCGTTTCTCTGAATTTACCAAACTTTTCAGAAATAAATCTCCATTCTACATGAACTCTTAACAAAAAACTAAAGAGGGAACAATGCCCAATTCAGTCTAACGCAGCCTGCATTATCATGATACCCAAATCAGACAAAGACATTACAAGAGAAAAGGGCTATAGACCGTGTCCTTCATGGACACAGAAGAATTCTGAAGATAATTTTAGCAAATTGAACCAAACATATTTATAGATAATGCGTCACAGCCAAATGGGTTTTATTCTAGAAAAGCAGGGTTGGTTTAACATTTGAAAAATCAGTGTAATTCACATTAGCAAACTAAAAAAAGGAAAACTATATGATCACTTCAGTAGATGCAGAAAAAGCATTCGTCGGCACCTAACATCCATTCCCAATTAAAAAAGTAGGGCTCAATAAACTAGAGAGACATGGAGAGTCTGGGAGGAAGAGGATTGGGAGGCAGGGAGGCCGCGGAGGAAGTCAGACAGTTAAAGTGGGGGATGCCAGAGGTCTGAGTGAAGATGGTGGCAGTGGGACGGAGAAGAGGCAGAGAACCTGAGTGGTATTTCAGAGATGGGATTGACAGGACTTGGTGACAAATAACCCATCCAGGGTCAGAGGGTAAGAGGAGTCAGGTAACCTTAAGATTTCAAGATGTGCATGTTCAGGTGGAGTTAATGCTCTTACAGATCAGAGAACGCAGAAGACAAGAAGACGTCTGCATGGGAAGGGGTAGGAGTCCCAAGAGGATGCAAGGGGACTTAGGATAGTGAGTTGAATTTTGAGTGATCTGTCAGGGGCCTGTGGAGATGCCCAGTGAACAACTGGAACCAGTGAAGAGAAAACTTGTTAACAGTGTTACCTCCGTGTCCCAGTGCAAAGCACCATCCTGTCCGCCGTCCTGGTCTGGTCCTGATTGAACAAGTCAGAATCTGGTAATGTTTCTTCCAATTTGATGCTGATTGTGAAGACTTGGGGCCATGAAACAATGAGCTCCCTGTTTTTAGGTCTTAGTCGTTTAGAGCAGAAGGGAAATGAAGATTTCACTGTGCTTGAGGCGCACTATGGCCTGCCAGGCCCAGCCGAGGGTCAGTTGAGAGGCAGTGGGGAGTCTCATCCCTAACAGTTCTTATTAGGAGACACACGGAACTAAAGCTGGAAAAGAGGGGCGTTTCTGGAGGAGGGTTGGTGGTAAGCTGTCACATTATAAATCGCCACTCTCATTTTCTCTGCAGTGGCTGTAAGTGTAGCTGAAGACACGGCTCATCCCAAGCTTGTCTTCTCCCAGGATGGGAGATACGTGAAAAATGGAGCATCGGCCAGTTCTTGGCCGTTGTTTTCTTCAGCATGGAGCTACATCAGCGGATGGAGGAACCCTCGGAAGATCGCAGAGTTTGTGGGAAGATTTCAGCACTTACACTGTGTTTTGGGAAAAAATGTTTTCACTTCAGGGAAACATTACTGGGAAGTTGAGACCCGGGATAACCTGGAGATTGCCGTCGGGGTGTGTCGGGAGGACGTCATGGGGCTTGCTAATGCTTCAGAAATGGGCCCCCGTGTGGGCATCTGGGCTATCTGTTGGGGTTCCGCTGGCTATCGGCCCCTGAAAAGCTCTTCTGTAAGTCCTACCAAGCAAGAGCCTGCTCTTAACCGGGTGGGAGTTTTCCTCGATTCTGGGGCTGGGAACATCTCCTTCTATAGCGCTGTGGATGGCACGCATCTACACACCTTCTCTTGTCCTCTTGTCTCCCACCTCCGGCCATTTTTTTGGTTGAGTCCATTAGCATCTTTAGTCATCCCGGCAGTGACTGGTGGGAAATGAGGCTGTTCCTCCCCTGCCCGAGAACCTCTCCCTGTACCCCAGCACAGGGACGTGCATCCCTCGGCCCTCTTCTCTCTTCATACATACTGGTCCAGGCGGCACGTCCGTACCGTCCATTCGCTCAGCTCCCTGCGCGTGCTGTGCGCACACAGGGATGGTGGACCCATTGGTTACCTTTCCAGCAGCCACTTGCTGCATTTCCCTCCTCCTCTTCTGGTTCTTCTGATGGAACTGTCGGGGGAGCACCGTCCTTGGGCTTCAGGGGAAGCAGCCCCACGTGAGGCAGTGCTGGCCAGTGAGCTGGGAGGAGACATTCTCTAAGGCGCTTCTGGGGAAAGATTCTGTAGCTTTAAGAAAGAGGTGTTTGAGGAGACACAGCCCCTCTTCTGATGTCAGCAGCTGTCTCAGAACTGAGGAGAGCACAGTGACAGTGCACAGGAAGAAGAAACATGGTCTTCACTGGCATCGCTGGGCTCTTGGAATTTCCTTAATCTGACATTCCTTATTATAGGAGATGACTGCTCCCTTATTGTATAAGGCAATTCAGGTTGCCTTTTGGTATAGGATTGCCTCACTTTCCCTGAAATTGGACAGCTTTGTAGACTCTGTTTCTGTGCAGTCATGTAATTCCTCTTTTCTCCAGGAAGTACTGAGACCTCTCACTTTTCTGGATCAGAAAGTTAAGGAAATCTTCCCTTGCTCTGTGCTGTGACTCTTCTTCACCTGACCATGTCTGTGCCCTCAAGTGTGCATTTTGTTACCCATCTGTCAGATTCTTACGTTGTTTATGCAGGCTGTTAACATCACACCTAAAACGTTGGGACACACTTGCTAAGTATTCAGACTGTGCTGCTGGCCTCTTTGGTAACGCTCTTTGACTCCTGCAGAAGTTCGGTGTGGGAGAGGGAAATTAAAATCCTCTTTCTGCAAGGAAGACAATAAACTGTGAGACAATAAACTTCTGTTATGTCAAGCCACCCAGTTTGTGGTTTGTTATGGAGTCTTAGGAAACCAGTACACTTGCCCATCAGGACTTCCTCCAGTATCTGCCTTATTCATTTCCAGTCCTTGGGAAACTCATCACTATCTTTCCTCCATCCTCCTCTGGGGCTGTTGAGCCAGGTTGACTAGTTCTATTACAAAGTCTTGCTCTCTGACTTCAGGTGGGTTCTTTGAGCTGCTTGGTGAACAACTTCATTTTTTCATCCCTTGACTTCCTTTTACATCTCTGGTGGCAGTGATTCCAAACCATTTCCTCCTTTCTCAAGGCTTCATGAGCCCACCTGCATACTGTGGGGAAGGCAAACTTTACCTCTACCAGTCTTAGGTTTTCAGCTGGGATCTAGCAAAATGTCGGATTAATAAGAGAAAAACAGTTTATTAACACATGCAGCACACACCAAGCAGGAAAAACCTAAAATGAAGAGTAACTCAAAGTGGAGGCTTAGAATTGTGGCTTACATAGTATCTTTAAAAGAACAATACATTTGTGGAGAAATGGCAGGAAAAACAGTCAACCTGCAAAGAGTGGCAGACTGTGGGAAGGTAAATGCATGTGAGGAAACTAATGGAGTAAACGTTTTTTGCAGATTCCTTGTTGGTGCGGTCTCCAGTAAAAGGGGAATTTATATTCTTCCATTTGGCAGGAAAGGGGAGCTTTTTCTGGGTTTGCTGCTCTTAATTGCCTTCAGCTCAAAATGATTTTTATGCCAAAGAGACCTATTTTGGGCTCACACATTGTGGTTTCCTTCATTATTATTAAAGAACTTGCATCTTTTACTGAGAAAAATATTATTCTCTTGCTCTATTAACATTTTTTTGCCTCTTTTAAGTCTTGATATTGGCCCCTCTCAAGTAGGGGATGGGACACAGGTGTATTTACTAAAAATGAAATAAACTCTTATGATGCCTCTGATGTACAAACAGAATTGAAAATGAACTTGTAATAGTTTTCAATGTTACTTAGGGATTTCTCTGAGTCTTTACTATGTTAATACATTATGACTTACTTGGAGAGGTATTTATTACACAGGACTTCTCAAGCTTATTTCACCACAGAAACTAGCTCAGGAAGCAGCAACTAAGACTTCCCAGAAGACAGTTTGGCAAAGACTGTTTATCCTACACTTTCTCCAGATGATCTTGACTATCTCTGATTTCAGCCTATACTTGCACTGTATAAAGTTGGTGGGTACACTGTGTGACCATGGATAAGGCTCTGCTAAAATCTCCCCTGGAGACTAGGCTCTTGTTATGAATATATGCTCTCCACCCCTCCAACACTGCAGCTCCCAGAAGTTTCTCACCCTTAAGCTAGCCCACAGTCAACCTCCAGTAATTCATCAAAATTACTATTTAAGTATTCCTACAAGTTTATGGCTCCGGTGGATTTTGCTTCAGGTAAGGAGATCTCAGCTTTGACTCTGTGGATTTGCCTGTCCATCCAGATCTTGGGGTGGCAATTTGTCATGCAACCTTAGTTCTCCCACAGGTCCAAGAAAAGCCATTGATTTTCAGTTTTCTCATCTTTTTCTTGTAAGGATATGAGTTATGACTTCCAAAATCTTTACATGTAGGAGCTGAAGCTGCAAGTCTATCAGAATAGGCTTCTTGTAGACCTCTGTAATGGTTGTGTCCACTTCACTAAGGGGTGCCTAGACAGCCGGTAAAACATTTCTGGGTATGTCTGTGAAAGTGTTTCCAGGAGAGATTAGCATTTGAACTGATAGACTGAGTAAAAAAGATCATTTTCACCAAAGTGGGTAGACATCATCCAATCAACTGTGAGCCTAAATAGAAAAAGAGGCAGCAGAAGGGTGAGTTTCTCCTCTGCTTGAGCTGAGACATCCATCTTCTGCCCTGGGACATTGGTACCCCTGGTTCTTGGGCCTTCAGACTTGGACTGGGACTTAGACCATTGCCACCCGATTTTTGAGCCTTTGGACCTGAACTGGAACTTACACCATTAGTTCCTCTAGTTTTCAGGTCTTTGGACTCAGACTGAATTACATACACACCAGCTTCCCTGGATCTCCAGCTTGCAGACAGCACCATGGAACTTTTTGGCCTCCATGGTCATGTGAGCCAATGGCCACTGATCCATCCTATTGGTTCTATTTTTCTGGAGACCCACTTGCTTTTTTTTTTTTTTTCCTTTAAATCATCTAGTCTTTCCGTTCTTAACTGTTGAACTATTCACCTTTAAAGTTATCGTTTTTGGGGTACATGCACCCTGATGTTTATAGTAGCATTATCAACAATAGGCAAACTATGGAGAGAGCCCAAATGTCCATCATCTGATGAATGGATAAAGATGTGGTGTTGTGTGTGTGTGTGTGTGTGTACCTATATATCTGTATTACGAATATTCAGCCATCAAAAAGAATGAGATTATGCCATTTGCAACAACATGGATGGAACTAGAGAGTATAATGCTAAGAGAAATAAGTCAGACAGACACCATTTGATCTCACTCATATGAGGAATTTAAGAAAGAAAACATGAACATTTGGGAAGGGGGTAAGGAAAAAGAGGAGAGAGGGAAACAAGCCATAAATAACTCTTAATGATAGAGAACACATTCAGGGTTGATGGAGGGAGTGGGTGGGGGATGGGCTAGATGGGTGATGGGTATTAAAGCGCATTTGCTGTGATGAGAAAAAAGAAGAAAGTTATTGTTTCTTTCCAACCTGGGCCCGGCAGAATGACTCTCTCAAAGAAGGGTGGTGAGAAGAAGGGCTGTTCTGTCATCAACAAGGTAGAGACTACACCATCAACATTCACAAGCATCCACGGAGTGGGTTTCAAGAAGTGTGCCCCTTGGGCACTCAAATCTGGGAATTTTCCATGAAGGAGATGGGAACTCAAGATGTGCCCATTGACACCAGGCTCAACAAAGCTGTCTGGACCAAAGGAATAAGGAATGTTCCATACCATATCCATGTGTTGTCCAAAAAAAACAGGATGAAGATTCACCAACAAGCTCTATGTTGTTTACCTATGTACTTGTCACCACTTTCAAAAATCTACAGATAATGTGTATGAGAACTAACCGCTGATTGTCAAATAAAGGTATAAAAATGCAAAAAAGTTACTGTTTGATATAGTTGGATAAAAAATATCGTTCTGCTAGTTATTAGTTTCTTCCTTTTTCTGCCTCTAGTTTTATTATGTATTTAAAAAATAAAATTCATTTTATTTCCTCTACTTATTTATACTTCTTTTAAAAACATTTTTAGTCATTGCTATAGGGTTTACAGTGTACATTTTTGAAAAATCTGAATCTACCCTCAAGCTTTGTTCTGGAACACAATTAGGGTATTGGGAACTGAATCCTTTTGGATCTTTTTTTAGGATTTGTTGGGCAGAACCTTAGCAGGGTGTAGTCTACGTCTAATTGTTCCTCAAGACCCTTCTGCATATTACACCCATACTCTGAAAATGGTTTTCTGGTTTGGTGGTGGGAACAGGCACTACTCCTGGCCTGGTCCAGGTCCAAGTACTGTTCCAAGTCTTGGGTAGTTGCATCAAGCACATATGCTGGTCAATACTCTGCTAAATACCCAAGGGAAAGCTCCTGCACATCTCTGGGTTTCACGCTCTATGCAGTTTTCCTCTCTAGCATACTCTGCTCTACAAATTCCAGTAAGCTTGGAATTTTCAGACTATCTACTCTTATCTCTTCAAATCAGGGAGTTGGTTTGGTTCCACCTGGTTTCTTCCAGCACTGAAGCCTGAAACTCTTAAGGCACGGATCACTGTCCTTTTTTAAAAAATCTGATGTCCAATGTCTTAAATTGTGGTTTCATACATTTTGTGGGGTTTTTTTGTTACTTCAGGCAGAAGGGAAAATCTCACCCATGTTACTCCATCTTCAGAAGCAGACGTCCCTACAAGTATGTTTTAAGCAATTAGAAAAGGATTTTTCTCATGCTTGAACCATCTCTTTCCCTCTTGTTCTGATTCTGTTTTCACTAGACAACAGATTTTACTTAATTGGAATTCTTGAGTACCTTAAAACTTGTCATATTCTAAATTGTGTACCTTAAATGTGTAATATACATTATCATAAAGTAACGTGGCTATATGAGCAGAGAAATTCAAACAGATAGTTAAATTTTGGCTTTTTTCCTAACCACTCTTGGTAATGTGGTTATATAAAATTATTTGTGGTCATAAAACTCAAATTCTGTTTTAGGTACTGAGAATACATCAATGAAGGAAACAGACAAATCACTGTCCTCATAGAGCTTACATTCATTATTCTCGTGGATATAATAGCTCACAATCACATAGCACTTATTATGTAACAGGCACCATGACACCATTCTATGTGTTTTAGACATACTAACTTACGGAATTCTCATAAAATTCTGTGAAGTATGTATTATTTTTACCATCATTTTTCAAGAGGAAATAAGCACAGTTGTTGAAGTAACTTGCCTGAGACCACACAGCCAGTAAGTAGTAGAATTGGGATTTGAACTCAGGGTCCATGACCCTATAATCCTCTGCTTAATCACTGCACCACCCAGGTTCGAGCTATCTTCTTATGTTGGTTAAGTATCTTTCTTTTCTCTAGTCTTGACTTATGTCTTTGGCCCCCTAATCTTAGACTGAGAGGTGGATTAAAGTTTTCTTCCTCCAGTGACTCTCTATCTCATTCTAGTTCCTATAATTTGCTTTATTAAGTGTTGTTGCTTACATTTCATAACTGCTCATATTTTCATTATAGATTGCACCCACTTTTACAGTCTCTTACAGATTAAAATTTTGATGTTATATACACTTCAGAGAATACCCTTTAACATTACAGTGTTTTGTCTTTTCATGCCTTTGGAATTGAATTCCAGTTTTTCAGATGGTAAGATCAGAATCCTTAGTTTTTAAAATTTTCATTTAGCTCTGCCCTCCTTTTACTTTTAGCTTTATGAACTGCTTTTTTTAGAGTTACAGTAAAAAATAAATATATTGCATAGAGTTCAATTTTGCTTTATGACCTAATTTGAAAAATCCTCTTCTGTGAATAACTGGGGAAGTCTGTTTACATTTATTAATAGCCCAGCTATCTTTGTTCTGAATTCTGTCACATTGTATTCATATGTTTTCTGCTCTTATTTTTTAAATCTTTATACATATATCTACTTTTTAAATAGTTCTGAAATTTAAGAAAGTTGTCTATATATATATATGTATATTTTAAAGATTTTATTTATTTATTTGTCAGAGAGAGCGAGAGAGAGCACAAGCAGGGGGAGTGGGAGAGGGCGAAGCAGGCTCCCCAGTGAGCAGGGAGCCCGATGTGGGACTCGATCCCAGAAAGCTGGGATCATGACCTGAGCTGAAGGCAGATGCTTACCTGACTGAGCCACCCGGGCGCCCCATCATTCAGGTTTTTATTTTATTTTTTTAATTTTATTTTTTAAAGATTTTGTTTATTTATTTGACAGAGACACAGCGAGAGGGGAACACAAGCAGGGAGAGTGGGAGAGGGAGAAGCAGGCTTCCCGCCGAGCAGGGAGCCTGATGCGGGGCTCGATCCCAGGACCCTGGGACCATGACCAGAGCCGAAGGCAGACGCTTAACGACTGAGCCACCCAGGCGCCACCCATTCAGGTTTTTAAATTACACAATGGTATATATGTCTCTTGTAGAAAATCAAACAAAACAGAAATTTATAAAATTTTTAGTCCCTCCTGCCCCAACTTCTAAGACATTTCTATTCCCCAGAAATAACCAGTGTTAATACTACTTAGATATATATTCTTCCAGATTTTTCGATTTAAATACAAACACATACCCAGGGGCACCTGGGTGGCTCAGTTGGTTGAGCGTCTGGCTCTTGATTTCATTTCAAGTCATGGTCTTGGGGTGGTGGGATTGAGCCTGGTGGAGGGCTCTGCGCTCAGCGGGGTGTCTGCTTGCTCTTCTTTCCCTCTGCTCCTCTCCCTGCTCACGTGTGCCCACTCTCTCTCTTTCTCTCTAAAATAAATAAACCTTAAAAAAAATACAAACACACACAAGTACGTATGTATTTATTCTTTTCAAAACAATTATGCAATATTATTGTCTAACAGCTTAGTTTTTTTACTTAATATAACATGTCAGTATATTGAGAGCTACCTGAGATTGGTATAGAGTGGCGATACACCATAATTTATTTCATAATTCCCCATTGATGGATAGTGAATCATGCTGCAGTGACCATTACTATACATATTATTTTTGCCAGTGTTTCTTTGCGCAGATTATTGGAAGTAGGATTATGTACATTTTAAATGGTTCTAAATCCTTTCAGTTGCCCTTCAGAAAGATGGCACCTTTCTTTTGTTTCTTGTCTTTTTCTTGTATGAGAATTTATTTATTTAATTTATTATTTTTTTTATTACTAATGTACTATATGTTGGCTAACTGAAGATGGCACCTCTTTACAAAAATCTCTTACTGTTGCAGCGTCAGAGGCCTCCCTTGCCAATATTAGGTATTTATTACTCCTTTAACAGTTTTCATTTTTTGCCAACTTAATAGGCAGACTCTATATAGTGTTATGAAATTTCAGACCAGAATACTTTTTATGCCTAGGTCTGTAACTGTTTTCAACATTTTCTCAATCTTGTTCCCTGTTTGGATTAGGTGACTTTTAGCTCTTGAACAAGCAGGATGCTGGGGAAGAGGGTTTCTCTGATATGTATTTCTCCCGGCAGGAAAAGCTTCTTAAGACTCAGTCTAGTCTGAAGGACAAGATGAAGAAAGCCGTATATTTTCAGGACATGGAAATGAAGAATGCTACCAAGTGGAAGGTAACAGCAGAAGCCGCTGGGCATTTCTTGCCCCCGGGACCCTTTGGTGTTGTTGGGAATAGTTGTCAGGCTCCTTGCAGATAAGGTGATAGAACAGGAAGTGTCTCTTTTAAGAGACCTGTGGTTTTGGGGGATGGGAGTTTCACATACTTTATCCCCATGTCTGTAAGGTAGTGCCCATCTCCTTCCTACTTTTTCCTAAATATACTCCCTACATTGTTGTTGGTTTGGGTCCACGGCATTGTGGAAAGTAAATGGGCTTTGCTTTCAGAGAGACAAGTTTAGTTGGGAGGCACGATGCGCACGCGTGCACATCTAAAGGTTTAACGAAACTAAACTGTAGGTGTTCTGGAGGCTAAACTAAATAAATGTGAAAGTGTATTTTAGTTTAAAAAATATACAAACAAGGCATTGCCATCAGTAGTAGAGACTGAAACGTTACAAAGAATGAACTAATACTATACAGGCTGATACAAAGAGATTAGCAGAAATCTGGGGAGGGTAGGCAGGACCTTTCTGGGGGAGGGGATTAGGGTGGAAGCCCCATGGGTTGCTGGGGAGTCTCGTGCATGGAACTGAGGAGCAAGAACAAGGCAGAACAAAGACTGAGCAAATCTCCTGTGGCTCTAGGAGAAGATGAAGAATCAGCGAATGACGATCAGCGCAGAGTTTGCAAAGCTGCACCACTTCTTGGCAGAAGAAGAGCAGCTGTTTCTTCAGAGACTGAGCGAAGAAGAAGAAGAGACGAAGAAGAAACAGAATGAGAACACATTAAAGCTCCATCAGAAAATCACTTCCTTGAAGCAGCTCATCTTAGAGGTCAGGGAGAAGAGCGAGAGCTCCACCCTGGAGCTGCTTCAGGTGAGACAAGCTGGGGAGGGGTGGGTTAGCACCACTCACTAAACTCCGCGTGTCTTTAGAGCTGCATGTCTTTCCTGGTGAGTGGGTTTCATAGAAGAAATGTTTTCTCTCTGTTGATAATTATGATACTACTGTCATTAAAGAATCAAAGATTCACCTTTCAAAGGAAATTAATGTGAAAGTTAGGTATGCTGAGCTCAGGTATTATGAGATACCTAGGTTCACTTGGGCTAATCGTTTGCGTAGGATCTGAAGCACATCTAAGACTTTTCCATTCATCTTATTTGTACATTTATAATTTGTTAAAATAGTAAAACAAAGCAACCTAAAATCACAAAGTAGATAAGTGTATCAACAGTTTTTAAGATAAATTTATCTTTCTTACTAATTTATTTATTATTTTTTAAAGATTTTACTTTATTTTATTAAAGATTTTATTTATTTGGGAGAGAGAGACAGAAAATGAGCAGGGAGAGGTACAGAGGCAGAGGGAGAAGCAGACTCCCTGGTGAGCAGGGAGCCTGACATGGGACTCGATCCCAGGACTCCAGGATCATGATCTGAGCCAAAGGCAGACGCTTAACTGACTGAGCCACCCAGGCGCCCTCTTACTAATTTTTAATCATTGCAATCATACCTTGATAATAACTTTGCTCTTAGCCCCAGATTTTGATTGGTATATTCATTTAAATAATTTCTAATATCCAGCAGCCTTTAAAAGGTTGTAATTCTAATTCATTAGCACTTAGGAGTGTCTGGCTGACTCATTCAGTAGAGCACTGACTCTTGATCTTAGGGTTGAGAGTTCAAGCCCCACATTGGGCGTGAAGCCTACTAAAAAAAAAAAAGTAAAAAAAAAAAAAAGTAATTCATTAGCACTTAGATTTGGGGCTTTTAAGCCAGTTTATTATCCTTCCTTGGAGTTAATCTTTACCTTTATATGCTCAGCAGGTAAGTGTCTTTATAGCTATTTCAGTTTTTGGATAGAATCCAACATTTGTGACCATTTTTTTTTCTGCTGAGATAATCCCTTTGGTCTTAGATTCCTCAGAACCTCTCTTTCTTCCATATGATGTGACTGGAGAGGAAAGAACCGTTGAAGGGGCCCTTCAATCTATGATTTTTTTTTTTTTTTTTCCCCATATCAGGAGACAATATTCTCTTCTACCTTTAAGGAAGAGAGACACAGGAACCCACTCACCAGTTATTTTCAGCAGGAAATTTCTAGCAGGGTGTTACATGCCATCGAAATGTAATGATTTCCAAGAATTGTCTAGAACTTTCTCAACTTGCTTGAGCCATGAAGTTCCAGTTACATATCCAAATGTAAACTCTAGCAGAATCTTTGAAATAACACATTTAAACAGTTTTGTTCAATATAGGTTTAATATCTGCTTAGAATTTCAAACTTCAAGGAGACACATGAGCTAGCAGAATGCTTACAAAAAAGTCTATCAGCCAATATAAGGGCAAAGGTAGGTAAATGTTTAAAGAAGATAGAACTGGATCATAGAGTCTCAGGGTCTAAGAGAACTTATTTTACTGATCTGTTCCCCTGTTCATCTATTTTTTCCTTTATGCCTTCATTTTTAGTCTGTAAGTCACTTCCATTCTTGGAACTATAGACACATCCAAAAAAAAAAAAAGGAACATAAAAAAAAATACTGTTATTCCTAATTTTTATCTTTTTATTTGAATGTGTTCTTGCACAATACAAAGTATTGCTTTGGTTTATGTATTTTTAATTTATGTAGTGATTTCATCATGTTGCATTCCGTCTCTCGCTTTTTTCCTTAGGCACTCACTATGTTTTTAAGATCCATTCCTGTTGCCATATACGTTGGACCCATGTGTCCATCCACAAGGTTTTGCCAGTTCCTTCTTCCAGTGATGGAAATCCAGGTTGCCCTAATACCATTACCACTAGAAGTAATGCTGCAGTGACATCACTGATATCTGCTCTTCTTGTTTTTATTATTGTTATTTTTTTATTAGTTCGTGGGTTTGCTCTGTAGCTCTCGCTCTTTCTCGGCCTCTGGAGCTGGCATGCTTAGCTCATCTACATTGACCCTTTTTTTTTTTTGCTGGTAAATGTTTTTAAGCTATACTTTCTCCTTTAAATATTATTTGTGTCCACGGATTCAGACAGCATCACTTTTTTTTTTTTTCAAGATTTTATTTATTTATTTGACAGAGAGGGAGCACAAGTAGGCAGAGTGGCAGGCAGATGGAGAGGGAGAAGCAGGCTCTCCGCTGAGCAGGGAGCTGGATGTGGGGCTCAATCCCAAGACCCCAGGATCATGACCTGAGCCGAAGGCAGCCGCTTAACGGACTGAGCCACCCAGGTGCCCCGGTTATCTTTTCATTATTAAGTAAAAGTGAAAACTTTAAAAGAAATCTTGGTCACGTTCAAAACAGCTATCTGATTACAGGCCTCCCATATACGTCAAATTTGACAGTGATCACAAAGTAGCAGTTATATCAGTGATAAAGGAATAAAATTACTTGAAATAACTTCCCAAGTAGCAGGATTATATACCTATTTAAGTTAACAATTAGGGGTAATAAGTAGATTACATAATGTTAGACAACATTGTATTAGAAAGAAAATAGCACAGGGGGTTTTGTGATGTACAACCTAATTTCATCCCCCCGCCCAACATTTTAATATGCAGTTTCCAAGCAAACATGAAAATTGGAAGAATTTTATTAACACCAGTAGACCCTCATCTAGATTCTGCCATTTGCATTTTACTCTATTTATCACCTACCTATGTGCCTTTTCTCATCAATTCTTACTTCCTTTTGAGGCATTTAAAGTTAATTGCAGACTTCCTCCTATACTTTAGCATGCACACCATCAATCACACTTAACATTTGTGATATTTTCTGAAGTAACATTTAATACAATTAAATATACACATCTTTAGTGTACATTTGCTGAGCTTTGGCAAATGCATACACCTGGGCGCCCTAAGTCCTTCTCAAGATAAACAACATTACCTGGGCGCCTGACTGGCTCAGTCGGTGGAGCACGTGACTCTTGATCT